TGGCTTCTAGCTCACTGATCTGTTCTTCTGCCTCATTTATTCTATTTTTGGTTCCTTCTAGTGTACTTTTCATTTCAGTGATTGTATTCTTCAATGCTGTTTGGGTGTTCTTTATATTTTCTAACTCTTTGCTAAAAACCTCACCCTCTGCAACTATACTCCTCCCCTGTTCTCTGAACATCGTGATTCACCATCATAACTTTAAACTCTTTTCTCAGAGATTGCCTGTCTCCTCATCACTTACTTTTTCTGGGATTTTATCTTGTGCCTTGGCCTGGGAGATACTCCTCTGATGCTTATATTGTTGATCTTTCTATTTGTATTTTTAGGTAGGTCAGTTATGTTTCTTGACCCTGGAGAGGTGGCCCTCGGTGAGTGATGTCCTGTGTGTCCCAGAAGTACACTCCTCTCTTGTCACCCAAGGGCCAGGGTGCAGCTGGTCCCTGGTAGAGTCTGGCCTGTGTTTGTGGATTCCTTCCATAGGCTATGGGATTGTTGTTTCCTTACCGCTGGTATCTGCCCCCTGATGGGTGAGGCTGAACTGGAGGCTTATGCAGATTTCCTGGCTGGAGGAGTGATGCCTGCCCACTGCTGGGTGGAGTTTGGTCCTGGACCAGTGGTGGGTAGGGCTGTGTTCTCACCCAGTGTGCTGTTTGGCCTGAGGCTTCCCTACAGGCTGTTGGTTGGGGCTGGGTCTTGGTGCTGAGGACCCAAGTAAGAAGTCAGCCTCCAGGAAAGGTCTTGTAGATGAACACTCTTGGAATGTCCACCACCAGCTTTTATGTCCCCTGGGTGAGCCGCAGCCACCTGCTATGTCCCCAGAATACCTTCCAAAATCAGCAGGCAGGTCTGACCCAGGTTCTGTGAAATCACTGCCTCTGCCCTTGAACCCAGCACACATGATTCTGTGTGCTCTTCCTAACTTGAACAAGTGTCTTTGTTTCCCCAGTCCCTTGGGGCTCCTGGAGTTAAGTCCCGCTGGCCTTCAAAACCAGACGTCCTGAGGTCTCCTTCCCCCACTGCCTGAACCTCAGGCTGGGGAGCCTGACGTGGGGCTCAGAACTCTCACTCCTGTGGGAGGCCTCTGTGGCTTTATTCTTCAGCTTGTAGATCATCCACCCCGGGGGTATGAGGCCCGATTATATAGAGAGCACGCCTCTCCTGCTGTCCTGCTGTGGTCCCCTCTTTATGTGTCCAGTTAAAGATATTTTTTGCTAGGCCCCAGTCTTTTTTCCAAATGCTTGTCTAGCAGTCAGTTGTGGTTTTGCTGTAGTGAGGGGAGGCAAGCTCGTGGTCCTACTCCTTTTTCTCAGTTCTTAGAAAAAATTCATGAAAAGCTTGAGGGAGTTTCAGAGTTGTGTAATGGGTTTCTAGGCATTTTCTTTATAAATTCCGCAAATTTAATTCGCACACATTTTGGAATCTGGTATTTGTCGTCTGTTTTATTGATACCTCAGTCAAAGTTTTGTAAAAAGGGTCTTTTTTTTAACTTATTTTAGAATATAATAGAAAAGCATTGGGGTTTTTTTTTAGGGTTTTCCTAAACATAAAAGAACTATAATGCATCACAGTTTTATCTGGATGGATGGATAGCATTCAGTTAGAGGAATTTAAAACAAGTAGTTGTCCAGCATTTGTCAGAATTATCATGACTGTGAAAGTAATCCAAGTTGTTTGTTTTGTTGCTTGTTTTTCATTTTGGCAGTATATTTGGGTTTGGTAAGACGAGGTGGTTGCAGTATGCAGCGTAAAGACTGAGTAGCAGGTGAACCGCCCTTCCTCAGAGATGTGTGTACCACTGATTCTCTTGTATGACTTTCTTCTGTCATTTTAGGGCAGGTTTTATAAATCTCCTTTTCTCCAGCGGTTTAATAGTCACGCATTCTTTTTGTTCTTTGAGTGATTGCCTTTGATGTAACACACTGTCTGGGTGTCCCCTCCCCTCAACAGATGGTCGGGGGCGGGGTTTATTTGGGAGGTGATCCCAGACCAGGACCCATAGGCTGTGTTCATGAGCCAGTTATTAATATGGGCAGTTGGGGTCCATCTCCGTGAGGAAGCCCAGAGACCGCCTCCCGGTGACCGCAGTGAGGCCGAGGTTTTCATCCCCCTCCCAACCAGGCGTCGCATCTCCTTAGGGATGCACTAAATCAGGGCCCTCCTGAAGCACCAG